TAACAGGCGCAAATATATTATGGTTCCTAGTGGAAGGGCTAACACTCTCAGATACTTTCTATTTGGAATTCTCAATGAATCTGGAGTCATGTCTTGACCTATTTAACGAAGGTTTCTTCTTGGAGTCAGATGATGACTTCGAAGTTTTGCCAACAGATGGGTTGTTAAACTTAGGCTTGATTGGCACAAGGGTTGTTTTTGAAATCACTTGAGAATTAGAAATGCACGAGCTAGATGAATCATCACTTAAGATTTCCTCAACGTCACTATCTAAAGATGCCCAAACGAAATTTAATCTATCAGAGTCAGGTCCAGGTGTATCAGAGGCGTAGAATCAGGACATTTGACAACTATGGGTTGAAACTCAGGAATCAGAGATTGAAACCGGTTTGAGGTCTCAGGAAGGAGTGACAGTGGTGAGACAGGGGTATCCGAATGTTTGAGGTTCGGAATGTCTCCCATAAAAGATAGATTTTGTATCTCCTTCAAGGTACGAGCAGTAGGTTTCAGAAACTCACTTCCGAGACCAAGTGATTTGGACCAAGGATGACGAAAATTATGAGTCACCTGTTCATTGGCTTCAAGAATATATATGGAATGATGTAAAGCATCAATTTTGGCATTCAGACGTTTGTTATCAGAAATTAAAACATTCCTTTCAGAATAAGTGATTTCACATTTATCTTTTAAAATGATACATTCATCTTGAGACATTACAAGCTCTCTTTCTCTCTCTCTCTAATGATTCTATCTTAAGCTTCCTATCCTCAAAACGCAATCTAAGACGAGTCAGTTCAGTTTCAATCTTCTCACTCACTTCTATGGTAAACTCATAGGCTTTATGGATGATGGTCATATCTGAGTGGATTTGGGTTAGATATGGTTCACAAAGAGATAAATCAAAATTATTATCAGTCATCATAGATTTTACCTGTTGAACTATGCTTCTGTCGGGTGGATCGTTGGTTGCCATGTAGCAAAAGTTTGGCTCATCATCTTTATCATCTCCTTCTGATCCTGATGACCAGTAGCCTTCATCGCATTCGATCGTTTGTCTAGCCATACGACACATGTTTCTTCTAGTGCTCACATCGCCCTCATCTCCATATGACCAATACCCATCAACATCTCTTGACACAGTGGTGATGAATGCTTTTTCACTTGCAGCCATCTCTTGGGCTCGACAGGTATAGTATGTAGAATCCTTGATCTTTTTTTATGTGTGGCTTCAGCCATACAATCTTTGGCAAAGTGATTTCCATCACCACACTTGTGACAAACTATATTGGGTTTGTCAGACTTTGGATTATCACGGGAGGGATGACTTGGTGTAGAAATGTTGGGTTTATAAGCACGTGGTTCTCTAAAGGTTTGTGAAATGGTTGAGAATTACTCTGGTGAGAAGCTTGGAAATGGTTATGATATGGTTTGTGAGTGGGATTCCATGGACACTTGTATTTCATGGACAGTAAAGCAAACTCTTGTTGAAAGCGAAGTTTAGAGTCCATCACTTTAGGATCGAGGTCTCCATCAAACTGATAGTTGGAACTAGTAGGAACATGTAAAGCTGGTGGAGTGGTTTGAACAGATGGAATAGGTGGGATAACAACATTGAAAGAGTCTGAAACAGAGGGGTTCGAGACTTGAGGATCGAAAGAACTAACAAGAGCTAGAGGACCTCCTGAGAGTTCTCTCAATGTTTGAGCAACATTTAATTCATGTCCTTGTAGCTCATCAAACAACTGGTAAAGCTTCAGCTTCTTTAGAGATCCATTACTCTGAAGACACGATTTTATGTTTCCCCATCATTTACCAAGACTATTGATGAACTTGAGATTGTATTCTAGCGGAGTTCGGACAATCCCATAAGTTGTCATGTTGTTGATAACGATTCGTTACCTATTCGAAGCTGAGGCAACTGATTCACCGGGAGTAGTGGTGAAGGTATCGAACTCGTTGACAACCGAAGTCGGATGCTTATCCTTCATGTTTTATGATCCCTCTAACATATCTTGGAGTGTGTCCCAAATCTCTTTAGTAGATTTGCACAACTTAATGTGCTCAAAGAGAGAAGGAGGAACACCGAACGCCATCTCGGAAAATGCAACTTGATATGCATGTAGCTTGTCGATGTCGGTAGCAGTGAGAGGTGATGGGCGCTGTTCTTCTTGGCCCATGAGAGTTGCAGCGACAAGGTTTGAAAACTATAATCTATGCTTATGGATTCAAAGGACAACCACTCAATCTCTGATACTAATTGTGAGTACGATAATCAATGCGCAAGGACAAGGTTTGAAAACTCAAACCTTGAGTTAATCTTTAAGATCAACGTCTGCTCTTAATATAAAGTTCCAGTCAAATCTGGTAAACCAGTTAGAACTTAAAGGTAAATATTCAACAAACTATTCAAGTAATAAATGAGGTAAACTTAGAGTATAATCAATGCAAAGATATTAAAAGAATAAGAAGAATGTTATGAAAGAACTTTGACTTGAAGGAAGGTGAAAGTAAAGTGAAAAGAATATTTGCTATTCTTGAATTATAACTTTGAATCGTTCACACACACTGAAATGGTGAAACATTCACTCCTTATATAGTGGAGGAGGAACATAGTACAAACCGAGAAAACATTCTTAAGACTAGACAAAAATCAATGTTTGACAAACTGATATCTAAAAGATACACATAAATAAGTCATATGAACTGTTACATCAAAGATAAGACAAAATGCATTAAATGCGTGAACAGACTTCGAATCTCGGAACATCTTGATCTCAATCTCGGAACTTCACCATATCTCGGACTCAGCTGACATCGGATCTTGAATGCTTGGGATTACTAGAGGTTTACTTTTCATGATTCAACAATAATGCATGGAATAAACTATTATGCACTTAAGTCCTAAGGTTTTCGGTCCAAATCTTCTAGAAGGGTTTTAGGGAACCTAATGATCCCTAAAAATGCAAACTTTATGGACATACATGACCGATGCATATCCTTTCCCTAATATAGGTAAAAAATGTAAAATGACCTAAGATCCATGCAATGTCTTCAAACCCCCATTAATTCCTAGAGCTATAAGATATTAATGCTCAAGGGACTTAGAGAAACCATAAAATTGCAAACTTTATCTCTTCAAACCACCACCACCACCACCCAATAAAACCTCTTCGCTTGAAATATCTTTCTATACAACGAAAGCAAAAAAAATAGAGACTCAAAGTATTTTCTTTGTGAAATTCAAGATAACCCTAAAGGCTTACAATGAACCCTTAATATAGAGCGATTCAAAGTTTGGCAGGTATAGATTTGGAAAACTGAAATCAATAATAAATTCCACTAAATAACCTTCTAAATAAGAGAAAGAATTTCAAAAAAATAATAATAAATAAGGAAAAGAGATGTTCTGTTATAAATACGTAATAAAATAAAATTGGAAATTATTCGAAAAATTGGAAAAACATGGATTTGAGGGCATAAATAGTAGAATTTAAAGGTCAACTATGGAGCACATTGACTTTTCAGGAGTTTCGACTCGTCGATACCTTTCCGTCGATATATCGCACGTCTCCAAATTCTTTACGGATCAAAAGTTATGTCCGTTTCAAGTTAGACATCTTTTGGCCCCACTTATCTTTTTTCCACTTGTCAATAAAAGCTTCTGCCAGGTCATCTATGTGCTCCGCATCAGTTTTGAAACACACGGACTTCATGCTGCAGATGGATGAATTTGGTACTGGAACTGACGATGTCTCACCCAAAATCCTATTTCATATTTTGTATTTCCACCTGAGTCTTCTCGAGCTTCCATTTGTAGTCACAAAATAGATTGCTGACAATAAGGCATTCATGTGAATTTATATAGTGTGGTTCGGTGGTGGACCTGCCATTGGCGGATAGCACCTTTTTGTTTAGTCCTCACGTAGGTTAGGTTGTATACAAGGGGACCACTTCAAGCCATAGGCTCCAAGGTTTGCTGACTAGTCAGCCACATTGTTTACTTGTGGCATAATAAGCAATATGTCATCATTTTTTCTTCCGATGTGGCAGAGGAAACCTACTGGAATAGGGAAATTTCCCAAATAAGCTGTTAAAACTAGGGTGGTAACTCTCGACCCAACCCGTAACCCGATACTGACCCAACCCTAAAATAGACGGGTTTGGGTTGACATTTTTGACCCGCCAACCCGCCAACCCACCAACTCGTTTATTTCATGAGTTGGGTTGGGTTATCTGTTTGGGTTCACGGGTCAACCCGCCAACCCGTGTATATATATATATATATATATATATATATATATATATATATATATATATATATATATATATATATATATATATATATATATATATATATATAAAATATGATATATTTAATTATTAATGAAATTTGATTTACATCCGTATTTGTAATATTTCGTATCATTGTATTCCTTTCATATTCGTATGTGACTAATCTGCGTTAGAAAAAATACATGTCGTTACTTTTAGAAACTCACAAGTCACAATGAAGAACACATCCACTTTCTATGAATGTTTTCGTATTTCATTTTTATTTGGATGTTATCGACTTTATGAATTATTGTTGAAAACCTTTTTTTATGCTAATTACTTTAATCATTTTATGAATTTATGTTGAAAAAACCTCATTTTTTAAAATACGTTGTTTATTTATTAAATGAGTTATATGGGTTGGGTTTGACCCATTAACTTGTGAACCCGCGAACCCATATACTTAAACGGGTTAAATGGGTTGGGTTGGGTTGAGGTTTCCAACCCACCAACCCGTCAACCCATATATCATATGGGTTAGGTTGAGTTTATGTTTTCTGACCCGGCAACCCACCAACCCGTGACCCGCCAACCCGAACCCAACCCAATTGTCAGGCCTAACTAAAACTATAGTTCGTATGTTTATAATGCCAAAAAAAAAAACATTAAGACTTTTTTAAACAAAACCATTAAATTGATTGGAATAACACAATTATAAAACACATTGATTCAAACAAAGAAAGCTAACATGTATTATGTTTCAAATTAACATTATTCCACAAATGAATCAATAATATACTTACTTACAATACAACAATATGAATCGAAATCAAAATCTCCTAAATTAGGTTACACTTACGCATCAACAACCACCACCTCAAAACACCAACACCGTCGCCACAACAATAACGGCAAGAAAAGAAAACACGACGCCCACGGCAGCTTTAGGTGGTTCACCGCTTGGTGATGCCGTAGGCGGCCCTGTTGAACCACCACCAGAAGGCGGAGATGGTATTCTAGCTGGAGGTATGGGACCTTCCGCAACGTCAGCATCGGTGAGAATAGGGCTAGGAGCCTCGGCTGGTGGAATAAATTGGGGTGTCATGACTGAGAACAATTGGCCAGGCGATGCAGGAGCCATGTATGCCGGTGTCATATTCGCTGCTAACCCTAAGCAACGGTTCCCTAAATTCATCGTCAAATCAATCAGAAATTCAAATTATGAGAGTAAAAGGATGAAGATAAGGAGTCCGAATTGAACTGAAAACAGCTTACTTGTGTATTTGGCAACAGTGGCGGGGTAATCCGTAATAACACCGTTGACATTGACCGAGACTCCATTGATGTAGGAGTTTATTTCGACGTATGGATCTGAAAAAAAATCCCAAGGTTGTGAAACAAATTCATTGTTCATGAATTGTACGTAGACAGGGAGCTTGAAAGCCTGAAGCTTTGCGACAACATCGGTTTGTCCACCAAGAAATCCTGCGTTGCGAGGGAACACGGATTCCTTTCCAATGATAACGGAATTGGCAATCTCACTGATATCTGAGATGGTCGAGTTGAGTGCATCACGGATATTCTCATCCACCTCATAAACAAGCTCATGTCTGTTGCTTCTTGCCTTGAATAATCTCAGCACTGCGCTATCTGAAGACTGGATCAAAATTTTCTTTCTCCTCTGGTTATTGTAAGAAGACGTATTCAAGACGCCCATCACTGCATCTGTTACACTCATTCCCTGACCAGATGCTAGGTATGCTGCATTCTGCATTCATTCATTTCAACAAAAAAACATCTCACTCTCTTTCTCTTTCTCGTTCTTTCTGTATCCATGGAATGATATATATATATATATATATATATATATATATATATATATATATATATATATATATATATAATGTTGAATCAAGACTAACCTTTATGTTAATCAAGACTCCAGAAAGGGAAGTAGAATTACTTGCATAGTCCAAAAACTGAGACAAAGTCATAAACTTGCCAGCGTTTTGGAATCTAGGGTTCCTCGATAGAGAGTAGTTTGAATATGGGTTGAACATTACAGCTAAAGCAACAAAGATATAAATATATATATAAAACCAAAATAAGAAATTAAGTAGCATATTTGAATATTTCAAGTTAAGTATATATGATGATGCTTACCTTGCAAGGTCTGAATGTCTTCCCATTTGAGTTGGAAGGTAAAGATTCCAGCACCAGAGAGCTGAGGAATTACTAAAGGCTTATTAAAAGGTGAGTTTGCAACGCTTGTTCTATCAAGAAGGTTTATAGAACCCAAACAAATTGGTATTCCATCACTCGTCATCTGAACAGGACAGTCGATAATATCTGCACCATCTGAAACAGCTTTCTTATATGCCATGTCAGTACACCCAGGGTACTCCCCGCTTGCTCCTTCATATGAGATTATCAAGGCTTTTACTAAACACATAACACACCATATATATAATGAAATCTTGTCAGCTTGCGATTCATGAATAGAAATATTCAAATTCAAATAATATTATAGAAAATATTAGTACCTTTCTGTGATTCGTTTTTCCCCATGCGAGATAAGCAATCTGCAAATTCAAATGTCAAATTATACTTAATCTGGAACTAATAAGAAGAAGAGGAAAAGAAAAAGTACCAATAGCTGCAGACGGAGTTATTGGGTTGTCTGAAAGGACGCCGTCAACAGCAAAATCGCCATTGTCAACAAAAGAGAGATACTCTTGTACAGGGTCATAACTGTAATTATAGGGAAGTTGCACATCATTCAGGAAATTGGAAGCAAAGACTTGGAGACCGGCCTTGTGGGCGTCCTGGACGAGTGTGGTAGCGGGTTCCAAATACAAGTCAGTGCCAACAGGCCATATATATGATTTAGGAACCACAATGGCCGAAGCAAATGTCCCGATAAATGTCAGGTTTCTCAAAAGTGAACCATATGTTTGATTGGTTGTAGGCTCAGTCTCCGACTTTCCTAGAAAACAGAACACGATGGTTGTGCTTCGTCTGAAACTTGGTGCAATACTTGTAAGGAAATTGACTTCCGGTGAAGATATATGGGAGACATTTGCCGAAGTATTTCTCATAAAGTTTGTCACAAAACTTGTCATGCTCAGATTATGCTGCTTGTAAAACGCGTCATGCTGCAACAACAACAGAGAATTAGAACAACCGGAAGGAGGTGATAACTGATCAATCATCTTCATCAGTGAGCTCACCTGGATATTTAACCACAGTCCAGGTGGTTGTATTTGGTCGGCGACGTCATTGACGGTAAGAATTGAGGAAGACCCATCAAAAACTGGACTTCGCGAGTAGATGCCCTGGGTTACTGGAAGGAAGATAGACAGTTACAAACAAACAACTACAAGCAAGATTAAGATTGATGGAAATATTAAGATGAAGATGAAGTAAGTTACAGAACACTTTGCCGAGGTCATCAAGGGTGAAATCGATAGGAAACCATCCTTTAACAGGGACTCCGTTTACATTGTAGGTGTTTTCCCCTTTATCAAAGGCTGAAGTAATGGTGGAAGAATTCTGGAGATTAAGACTTGGAAAGCAGATCCCGGCTTTATCTTTAGTCAATTGTACATCACACCAGAGGATGACGTTGGGTACGCTAGTAATCACAGCCAACGAGTAGGCGTTGAAACTGGAGCTAGGAAATAAACCTGAAAACCCACCATGTGCCACCACCAAAGGGGCAGCTCCTGCAAAACCACATACATACATACATATTATCAAAAAAGAAAAAAAAACAACCAAGCCTGAAGCTTAATTCGTTTGACATTAAATTTGGGGAAAGAAGGAAAATTAAGTTGTTGTATTGTATTTGTATTTGTATGTACCCGTTAATGTTAGCCATGGAGAAGTTGTGTTGGTAGATCCCTGAGCAGCGACCAACGAGAGGAGGCAGAGGTAGACGAGGCACCGGAGGTTCCACATTCGCGGCAAATGTTTTCTGCAACTCGAGAGAGAGAGAGAGAGAGAGAGAAGCAGGAAAAGAGAAATGTGTGGTTTAAACTTTAAATAGTGACAGACAAAGAAGATGTTGGTGGTAGCGCGTCCGCACCTTCTCTGCCAGCCAAGCCAGCCGTCTTTAATATTCTTTATTTTTTTTAATATTTAATTATTTTCCAACACGAAGGCCCTCAAATGCACAGCTTTTAGAAAAAGGAATTTGACTAAGGTAATTAATTATTTCAATGTTGGGTAATATTGTTTTTTTTTTTGTACTCATTTACCCAATTAATTTTTTTCATCCGTTCAAAAATAACAAACATTACCAGCTATTACCTGTTTTAGCCGGTAACATTGATTTAGCTGGGTTGAAAACATTACGTGGAATCTTACGTGGCCATTACACCCCTTTCTCATTTAATTAGGGTTCGTCATCGTCAGCTAACACACCTCGATTACCTTCTTCTGTGAGAAATCAATCGATACATCAAATCGACGATTAGGGCTTGAAATTGAAGTTGGAATTGAAGTTGACTGCTAGCATGGCATCCTCATCTACAGGTATGTATGTATCTGTAGATTTTCATTACAATGGATTCTTTTCGCCAAACCCATTGGTGTACTTAGACCCCATAAAAACAAATGTACGTGATGTGGATTTTGGGGGATTTACGTATAAAGAGTTTCTTTTGTGGCTTACGAAATTAACCAATGGAGCCTGTGATAATGTCTACTACTGTATGAGAAAGGAAAGCTTGTGTGAGGGTATTAGAAGAATCGACAGTGATGCTGATTATTGGGAGTTTGTGGAAACTGTTTATAGTCTGGAGAGTGATAGTCTTCAAAGTGAGTTAGATGTGTACATTGACCACCGAAATGAACCAATTCTTGATTGGGCTGATAACGAGTTATTAGCAGATAGTAAAAGGTATGAGTCGGATTATATGGATGAAGAGGATGACAAGGATTCTGAAGTTTCAATGACAATGGAATATGAACATGAATGGGATGATGAAGAGGAACATACTTTTGATAAAACTGTTGGAGACCCATTCTTGGACAAACTTTTAGGGCATATTAGTGATGATGATGAAGAGGAAGCAAACAATGGGAAGCTTAAGGATGTTGTGTTCCCTGTCCATAATGAGAATCAAGAATGGGAGCGAATGGTGCCAGTTTTGGGTATGAAGTTTTCTAATCCATTGGAATTGAAGTTGTGTATCACCAACTATGCAGTCAAAAATGGATATGATTTATGATATGAGAAAAGTGATCATGAAAGGTTATTGGTAAAATGTTGTAAAGGTAAGACAAATAAACAGGGTAAAGGTTGTCCCTTTAGGTTGTGGGCAACCTGGATGAGCAGTGAAAAATCATTCCAGATTAAATCTCTAAATGATATGCATAATTGTGCAAGAGTGTTCAAATTTGGGTCCATTGTTACCTATAAATGGATAGCAAAGCATTTCATGAATCATATACTTCAGAAACCAAAGATGAGTATAAGGAAGTTGAAAGCTAAAGTCAGCAAGAAATTTAATTTGATTGCAAGTGTTGGTCAATGCAGATGAGTATAAGATGAGTATAAGGAAGTTGAAAGCTAAAGACAGTGAAGTTGAAATAGAACCTGAAAGTGATGTTGACTCTTTTGATCTTGAATTTGAAGATGATGTGCAACCTGAAGTTGAAGATGGAGTAGAACCTGAAGTCCAAGATGGAGTGCAACATGAAGTTCAAGATGAAGTGCAAGCTGAAGTTGAACCTGAAATTCATCCTGAAGTTCATGATGCTAACCAAGTTGAAGTTCACCCTGCAGTTCAAGCTGAAGTTGAACCTGAAGTGCAAGTTCAAGTTGAAGATGCTAACCAAATTGTAGTTCAAGATCAAGTGGAAATACCAGCTTTTCAAGTTGTAGTGGGAAAGAGGGCAAGGAAACCTTCAGAAAGAATTACAAAAACTGAAGATAAGAAAGATGTGGGAGGGAAAACAGGGAAGCAGTGATGACAAACCGTATGAGTTGGATTAACTTTTGGCTTATTGTACTGTTGTTAATGTTTTTGGCATCTCTGACTGACATTTTTTAACTTTGGAATCTTTTGGCACATCTTTTGAAAACTAGTTGGAATAGCTTAAATGCATGTTTAAGTGTGTAGTGTTTAACTTTTTGCACATCTTTTGGGTGTAATGAATGTCTAACTATGTTATGTAAAACTTTTGACACATCTTTTGAAGTCAATGTTCCCTGGAATGTTTATAATGTATTACCACCTTTTGCACATCTTTCTAATACCATTTGTATTGTTTATAATTTATTACCATCTTTTAGAATATCAATTGTAATCACAATTCCATTACAGTGTAATCACAATTCCATTACATTGTTTGAACAATGTAATTCCAATGATTCACAATAACATTACAAGTTTTGTACACTACCATTCCAATGATTCAATTCCAATGATTCAATTACAATGATTCAATTCCATTAAAATGTTTATTACTATCTTTTATACTACCAAGTTTAATAACAATTCCATTACAATGTACAATTCCATTCCAATGATTGAATATAACCTTTTTCATTGAAAACATCACAAAAGCATACATAATTTAGTCATACTACATCATAATACATAATTTAAAACAACATTTTGACATACAAGAGAAACAAGAAAATTAATGCAAGTCTATGGGTAAACAATTTCCAATTGACTTTGTCAAGTTCTTGTTTATTCTTGTTCTTCTCTTCTTCAATCTTCATCCTGCATATGCTGATTTCATTCTCCAAGGTACAAATTTTCAAGGTAAGATTGCAGCTTTCTTCTGCTTTCATCCTGTAATGCCCTCTTCCATCTTTCCTCCCTTCATCCTCATCCAACCATTGCCAAAATTTACAGCTTGGACTTTTTCCATTCTTCAAGAAATTTATAAAAACATGTTAAATTGAAGGATGAAGAAGTAAAAAAATATGAATTACCAGTGAGTTTTGACAAACTCTGAATTTCCTTCCAGGATTGTCTGGGGTTCTTGATGTCTTCACACGAGATGGCAAGTCGCAATCACATGGATGATCCGGTTGCAATTCGTCTTGTCGTTTGGAAGAAAAGGATGAGGAAGAAGATGTCATCGATCGATCTAGGGTTTTAATTAATAAGCAGTCGTATCTCACCCTTCTTATAATGTAAACACTTCTCAATGCCACGTAGGTGATGAGTATTGCAGCGTACAAGCCACGTAGATGCCACATCACCCAAAACCTACAATAGCCGGTAAAGTTGGTTATTTGTGAACGGGTGAAACAAGTTAGTTGGATAAATGAGTACAAAAAAAACAATATTACCCATATGTGAACATTTGAAATACTTAATTACCTTAATAAGTCAAATTCCCTTTAAAAAATAGATTCATAAAATAAAAATAGATAGAGACAACATGTTACTAGTCTAATAATATTAATCTACACTACATAATACATAAATAAAATACATAAAAGTGAAAGAAAAAAAAGGGTAAATGCAGACCGTGGATAATGGATTTACATTTGGAGCCAACAGCTAACCGGCGAATAAATAAATAAAATAAAGGGAGCCTAGCCGGCCTGCTGCCTACAAGGCTACAACTACAAGGAAAAAAAAAAGAAGGGGAGGGGGGAGAAGATAAGATGTGATTGATGTCACGTTACGAATTCACGTTCTTAAAGGGCCCAACGACCCGACCCCATTACAGAACTGCATTTCCGTTCTTCAAACTATTACTACCATTATTCCATACAATCATACATTCATACATACATTTATTCTCATATCTTTTTTTTTTTTTTAATAAACTAATAATCCTATTTTGTCCCTTCCCAGAAACAATCATCTCAATCTTTATAGCTTTTTTCATAAATAGAATATGTTGTAATCGATGCATGTTTCGAAGGTGATTCCAAGTGCCAATATGAGTATGAACACGACCTTTCATTTGGTTTCTTTTCCTATTTTATGTGTTTCATATTTATTTTTTTTATCTTATTTATATAAATGTCTAACATTATTTAAGAACATATTGTATGAGACATATTTGTTCGTTATGGGCTGAGGTGTATGGCCTTAACGCCGTTGTAACGGGGAACACCCCCTCCCCACTACTCGTTGCTTCTCGTTGTGTTACAATTCGTGCTCGTTACCACCGGATGAAACGGGAATTATACCGTTTGATTTTAAACTCAAACGGTCAATTTAATAATAATAATAAAAACTTTAAAATTAATTATTCTTTTCCTATCTAAATAAATATTATCTATACAATTTTTTACACATAACTTTTCTCTTTCTTTCTATATAATTTCAATTATCTTCAAAAAAAAATTATGGATCCTTTCAACTCGTCCGATGATTCCAATGACGATATTTTCTTCAGGATGATGTATCATTATTACACTACCGACCTGCTACAAACAAACCCAACTCCACTACTAACAAGACGTGCGATGTTAAACAGAAATCGTGAGGAAGGACACGAACATCCATATCACGATTACTTTGCGGATAATTGTGTATATGGGTCGAAGGACTTCAAAAGAAGATTTCGTGTAACACCCATAAAAATTGAGCCAAATTAAAACATTTCAATTCATTCAAAAACCATTAAGTTCATACATCTCGTTTTCAAAATAGTTTAAACATCAGAGTATCCCCCAGAACCATATCACATAAATCATAAAACATGAGGAGCGGTACGATCACGCCTTCGCCTTGCCACGATCTCCTGAAGTACTTGAAACAATACACTGAACTGTAAGCCCGAAAGCTTAGTGAGTTACCCCCAAAATACCAACCACACATAAACATACTCACAACATATCACAAATAGAACAACCATGCACATCGGGTCTACTGTGTGACTGGTCCGCCCGCACCGGGCCTTCAGTCCACCTGGTCCACCCTCCGAGTCTAGCCATGTAAATCGAGTCTATAGTGTGATTGGTCCGCCCGCACCGGACCTTCAATCCACCTGGTCCACTCTCTGAGTTTACAGTATGACTGGTCCGCCCACACCGGGCCTTCAGTCGGA